TTATTTAGAGACAGGGCCTCACTAAATTGCTTAGGACCTTCTCAGTTGATGAGGCTGGCTTTGATCTCATAATCCCTCTACCTCAGCCTCCTGAACTGCTGGGATTGGAGGCGTGTACCATGTGCCCAGTTAAAGTCTTCACATTTGATAGCATACATTGGGGTTTTTGTCATACAACAACCAATATTCTGACATCAAGTGGATGTCCTACAACTCAATCCAATTCTGACACTATGTACCTGCAGTTACTGCACACCCTATGGGTTAAAGGCTCACCTCACACACTGCCCCCACTTTACACATCAACCAAAACAATGATCCACCAAGTTACCACCCACATTTCTATTGAACTTAGCAACAAAATGGAGGTATTCAAAATCAGGTTTGATAATTTGCTGCAATGGCTCAGGAAAACACTCCTTTATACTTACTGTGTATTAAAAAAGATAAAAGGTCCATATGAATGGATGGATGAAGAGTGCACAGAGGTAGGCCTGGAAGGTCCTGTGTGCAGATGCTTCTGTCTTGGTGGAGTGAGTTGAAGGATGCCACCCTCCTGCCATATGCATATGTTCACTGACAGGAGACCTATCTGAACTCTCTCTTATGGAATTTTTACAGAATTTTCTTCACAGAGACATGATCAATCATTAATCAACCTCCCAGGGTCTCCTTCCCACAGGATAAAGGGTGGGAGCTCAAAATACCAGGCTTCTACTCAAAGCTTTGTTTTCCTATCTAGGACCCCTCAAGATTCACCTCATTATGACAAAGGATGTATCTATCACCCAGGAAATTCCAAGAGGCTTAGGAGTTCTAGGTTACAAAATAGGATCAAAAACAACCACATCCAAATGTCTCAAATCTGTTCTTCTGAAACTACAAGCTAATATGCACATTTTTAAATGCTGAAAGAGTTTAGTTTCTACTACTACTAAGGTACAATAACTGTATAACTTTGTTCATATATGCATCATGAATATATATTTATAGAAATCATGCAAACTTTGCTGAAGGTTTTATCCCCAAATTCACTGTGTCCAGAAACACATTTGCTATCCCCAATAAATTTCTCCTCCTTAATGTGACATTAGTAACTACAGGTACATAATGTCAGAATTGGATTGAGTTGTAGACATTCACTTGGTGTCATCAAGAATTGGCTGATGTATGAAATAAAAAAACAAACAAACAAAAAACTAATCAAAAGCTACTAGGTACTAAGTATGCTTAACTTTTTTTTCCATATGATGTTTTCCTTTATACTTCTTATACTCCACATTGGATAATTCAGTTAGTACAATAGCAAAGAAACATTATTCAACATTCCTGTACTTTCTTGTTCCTATTACTTTGGTACCTTGATTCCAATGTGCTTCCTGTAACACATACAGCTATGTGAATGCAAAGGCTTCCTTCTCTATGCAACCCTTCCAGAAACTAAAAATGTAGAAGGTACAGTGTTGACATTCCCATTTTTTATCTCTGAACAGTTTTGTACTGAGTCACATAATAACTTAAGTGTACAGTGAGGCCCTTTTGTGTCACTCTGGATTATTTGTGTATTTCTCTATTCTATAAGATTAGGAATTACTCTAGACTAAGGACTAACTCTTCTATCTCCAATACCTAATCCATGGTAGGTATCTCTATGTTCATTAAGCAAATTACTGGATGGACAGATGAATATGTAGAATTAGGCTACATTGCCTAAATAAACATATGGGTGAATAAGTGAACAGAACTAAATAGGGAAAATCTGAGGGTGAGAAAGGTCCCTTTAGAAAATGGCGGGAAATGTTTCAGTAAAAATCTATTTTCAAAAGCTCAGGCACTCCTTCACAAATTACTATGTGAGTAGAGTTCCCTGAAATCTCTTACTGAACAAATATTCCACATATACACCATCCCCCCCCCCAAGATCCATGAGTCAAAGCAGCTTTACAAAGGTGATTCAGAGGCAGATTTGGGAAAACATACAACACATGCTTGACTCAGGAGAAATCAGAGACTTACTAGCCTAATTGAGGTGGTCAGGTGACTCACTAGGTTTTGAATTTGAAATTTGCTTTGGCTCAAAAACAGAAACTTCAAAGTTGTAGGTTAACAGTCTATGTTTCTAGGATTTTTCAAATACCTTTTAATTACAACAGCACAGTCTACTGTAGACATAATCTCCCTTTGTCACGTTCGTTTAATATTTTAAGAATGTGATTATTGTTCTCACAGTGTATAATTATATTCACCAATAAATACTAACACATCTAATTCAGTTCCACCAGAGTGAATATAATTCAGAAGGATGAGATCTATCTTCTAATTAACTCATTCTTCCCTATATTGGAATAATTAAAAATAATAGGATGGATCATCCTTTAAATTCTGAATGGAACAGGCACATTATAAGTAGATTTTGCCCCAATTATGGATATAGTCAACTTAATGTTAATCATAATTATTTTGTTAAACCTTCTGAATGTTTTTCTCTTTATGGGAAAGCCATACTCAAGGGACACTGAAACTTACATGACTAATTTCAATGGTAAAATATGAAAGATATAAATATGCCTGATATCTTCAATCTGGTTTTAAAACTGAAAGCCAAACACAGGCCTAAATTCAAGGTCCAATTTGGTTCATACAATGTAGTCAAAAACAAGCCACTTATCTTTTGGGCCTTCATTTCCTCATCCATGAAATAAGCACATCATTTATATATCAGAGTTCTCTATATCTCAAGAGTTATCTATACCTCACACAAGTGAGAGTCTATGTGAAAGTGCTTCACAACCAGTCAACTACTGTCCAAATAATAACAGTGATTCTGAGTTTGTGTGCACAGTAAGATTGCTCAAACAATAACATCACTGCTGAATAAACCCATTAAAATGTAATGGTTTATGGGAGGCATGTGTAGACATCACCTTAAAGAATGAAAGCTACACTAAGTGAAAACCTCATGGCATAATCTTATCCACATATAACCCTCTAGGTTTTAAGACTTTAGAGTGAGAAGATGAAAGCAAAATCCCACTAAAATAATAAGACAGGAATACATAGAAGTATTTGGGCATAATGTGACTGAGATCAGTGGCAAAGACAGTCTTGCTGCCATAAGAAACTAGACTAAAGGTATTTCATCAGGTGGAAATGGAGAGTTGATGAATATCATCAAATCATAAAGCATGGGCCTATTGGAAAAAAATTTCTCAGACCTGGGTCTATCTGCCTGCAGAATTAGCCTTGTTTGCTATGTTCCTTTTGTGTCACTTAGTGAATTTGAGCTTTCGCCTAGTTGATCACCTTCAAGTATTCCCTGTCACCTACAAAAGAATCTGTCTTCCAAACTATCCTGTAGTCTGCTGTAGGAAAGCATCCAGCCCCCACAACACTTCAATCCTCCAATGGTTTATTTCACAACTACGAATGCTTGTCCTTATCTGAAGGCAGCCTTGGCCACTCCATCCTGGGTCAGTAAAAATCTATTTTCTAAGGTTCTTCTTCCTTCTTGTTTCAAAAACCAATGACATTCATCCTTCCAATAACATGGAAAGTTTCTGATGAGAATTTTCAGATTTTCCACCTTTGAAAGCATAAATTACTCTCTTCCTTGTGCTTTTGAGTATGAACCATAGTTTACCTTACATAATACTAGGGGCTACTAGAAGTTGACAACCGAGTCATATATGTCTCTCTCTTTCAATCATCAATTTTCCTGTTCCTGTGAGTTCCCGCAAAAGACCACAATGTCTGCTATATACCAACAGCTCAGTCTATGTTCATAGAAATGAAGGACATTTTTACTACTAACAGGACTGGAAGAGCCACAAGCAAATGTAGGTAAGGAAAAGCTAATCTCCAGTATGTTTTGCCTTGTGCCCCCACATACCTGACAATTCCATTATCTGTGTAGAAAAGGTAATGGGAATGTGTCTAAAGAGAACAGAACTGCAACCTTATGTGCAGTTAAGTGTTAGCATGACTGACAGCAGAGACGCAGGACTGCTTTTTAATTCATGAAAGGAATCATTGTTAATACAGCAGCTGCCGCTCAAGAATTGGAGTGGGACTCAGAGTGGTGTACACACTGTCACTTAGTCAAGCACACCTCACAAAAGAGTCCAACAACACAGTGACAAAAATACTTGTCCAATCATATGCATCTAGAGTTTTGATGGCTGTCTTCTAAGGACTTAGAAGCCACAAAACAGATCTGTGATGACCCTCAGAGAAGAAGAGAATGATAACTAGGTTTGGAAGAGCAGCTTTCAAAATGCAAATAATAAACCAAGATGTAAGAAAAATAACCCAATTCCAAAGTAAGCAAAAATAGCAAAGAAAAAAATATTAACAAGGCACCGTTTGCACTTAAAAAAATAAACAGAATAATTACTATCACCTAATTCTGGTGAATTTGAGAAGAAAGTGATATATTCAAATGGCTGGTGCCAGTATAAACTAGTCCCAACTTTCAGAAGGAAACTAAAGAATCTAGTCATTCTCCTCTATGTGGGAATCCCAGTGTTAGAACTCTGAGGCAGAGAAATAGCTCCAAAAAAATAAAAAAAATAAAATAAAAATACACATGAACAAGTCCCTTGTAGCTTTGCTCATAACAAAAATGGAAATCACCTCAATGTCCCACACAAGGAATTCCTTATAAAAGAGCTCCTCATGATAAGTCAGATTTATAGAGACTGTATAACATATAATATAATATCCATACTGAAAGCCAGAAAACAGAGCAATGTCATAAAAAAAGGGTCCCACTTTTCAACAATATTTCTGGATAACATTATCATGTTATTTTAAAAAATCACCTTAAGAAGTTTCTGCCCGCTCATTAGCACATATTGGCATGAAGTAAAAACCTAGCTTAGACTATTGACTCTAAGAAGATCAAAGGAGAATGACAGAGCCCAAGGAAGTAGCTTGATCTATGAGAGGGAGAAGAACACCTGCAGGTAACCATGTGGAGTGACCACAAGGGCAGCACTCACCTGTGGAGGCCGAGGCTTGTAAGGGGAACTGCACTCGAGGTCAGCGAGGATGCTGGTCAAAGAGTCTATCTCTGCATCCAGGCTGGAGCGCCTCTCCTCAAGGGTCTTGCCTCCAGGATTTCCCTGCTAGAAAAAACATGCACATTAAAAATAAATAATTTTCCATGGATAGCCTTATGAGTTCAAATCAATCAAGCTTGCACTCTGTTTTTCCAAGTGTTTTTTTTCCTGACAACATCATGCATTTTTTAAATTCTTACTTTTAAAGATTTTCATTAAATCTCATTGAGCTAAAGTAGAATTATCCCTTTTGACAGAAAAGAAAAACTAAAAAAAAAAATTCTTTTTTCCTAAGACCATATGATTATTTTAGACAAAATATCATCCTTGCACCTAAGAGACAGACCAATTGAGGGGCTATCTCAGTCTCTCTGCACTCAGAAACTAGGGTGTAGAATGATATTTTATTGGAGTAGCAATGGGCAAGAAAGGGAGAATCACTGTCTAGAAGAAAAAAATCAGCACTTGAAGACATGAGGGCACAAAAGAGTTTGAGTATCTGGGGTCAGCAAGGCCCAGGAATGCACCTAAAACATGAACTAAAAGAGACCATACAGGCTCTGGTGATAGGCTGCTGAGGAAGATCACAGTGAGCACTAAGGATGGTTGGGGATCTCTCGATTTTATGCATCAGTACTCCCAGATAGCTGCACTCAGTATCAACAGGATGAGAGTTGGGGCAATAACACAGCCACAAGACACTGCCAAGAACTGTGATCTGGTTTGGGAAAAACAAGCAAAGAGTATGCATAAACTTTAAGGCAAGGATATATGAAATGAGGTGAACCCATGATTTGGAAGCAGGACAAGATAAAAAAATCTTATAAGTTGACAATGTAATAATGATCATCTATGCCTGATGCACATCTAACAGTCAGTCCATCACTCAAAGTGCATTTTTAGAATCCCGGGAGAAATAACAATAGGCAGTTATTATCATCTAATGAATCTAAAAGGACTTATTGAAGGACGACAAATGTCAGGATAATGTTTAATGCCAGCAAGAGCCTAGAAAAGGCATTAGCCAAGCATATAGAATATCCTCAGTAACAACAACAAAAATCTGGTGCCCTGGCAGGCTACCATTAAACCTCACAATGCTTGAAGTAAATAGGTTGTTTGAGAGAACATGTGACATCAGGCATAATGCATAATAGCACTGCCTATTAAGAACACTAGTTCCTTTTTTACTAGTACACTGCTTACCAAGCCAGCTTCCCCGAGTCCTGTCTGTGTAAAAGCAACTTAATGGGATCTGATGCATCTGTAAACCTGTTATGAATTCAGCCAGGACAGAGTCCCTCCTGGACCCAATAATATCAGCTCTCTATGAAGTTTTACCCGTGGAACAAGACCTGGATTGCCACTTGCCTCCTAAGGTAATTGGGTGACCCTGTTTCTAAGACTTCTTGAAATATGAGTATCTCTTATCATATGGTCTAAGTAGCCATCTTGTGATTTTTCTAACTCTCTGTATATATCGTTATGAGCTGCTACATTCTTCTATCACCTCAATAATATGTGGCATCATCTAAGCACTAAGCTTCTTGGGCACTTGTCTATTGATGATTAATCTCTCCCTAGAAGGTAAAGGAAGTTTCCTGAGGGCAAGGACTTTGTCTGGTTTGGTTCTCATTGCTTCCCTCGAATCTTGCTCAGGGACCTGACCCAAGTAAGTGTTCAATGAGTATTTGGGGGTCAATACTTTAACAAATAATGATTTTGCCATTGGTCCAGCCATAAAATTCTTTTTTTTTTGAGAGAGAGAGGAGAGAGGAGAGAAAAGAGAGAGAGAGAGAGAGAGAGAGAGATTTTTTTTTAATTTTTTAATATTTATTTTTTTAGTTTTTGGCAGACACAACATCTTTGTTTGTATGTGGTGCTGAGGATCGAACCTGGGCCGCACGTTTGCCAGGTGAGCATGCTACAGCTTGAGCCGCATCCCCAGCCCAATAAACCTTTACCTTATCAACATCATTGGATTAAATGCAGCTTGAGATATAATAAGAAGCAGTGAGGCTCGAGTGTCTTATATAAAAAGGGAGCCAAAAAGTCTCAGTGTGTATGTACACACGTGTGTGTGTGTGCATGCCTGTGTGTATGTGTATGTCAGCCTGAATAACCCAAAGTTCATATTGGGCTTGTGAAATAAAGATTTTCCTCAGCACCCTTTCCTCAGCCAAAAATGTAAAAAATGTTTAAAAAAATGGCACTTTTATAGTATGGTTGTGTTTTTTTCAGAGTCTAAGTTTTCAGTCTAACTAAGTTTTAAGGCCAGTGGCTCTTTGTCCTAGATATTTTCAAGGAGCTAATCCCTCTACTCAAGGTAATTCCAACTTTATCCCAAAGGGCATTAATAACTATGAAACTCCATGGAACTATAAAAATAAAGCCCCTTTAACATTTAAAATGCAAGTAAACACACTGATCAATGGGTCCCAGAAAAGCAAGACACTAGGAAGACAAATTAGAAGCAGTTGGATTTGATTTTCTTGGTTGTGGACATATTTATTATCATAAATATGAATTCAAAAAATAAATTTCTGAGTACACACAGATAGTACACTATGTTGGCCAAGACAGTGGACTACAGTCTGCTACGGTTTTCCCTGGACCACAGTTTCTTCATCTGCAAAATGAAGAGAACATTACCTTCCCTGCCCACACCAGAGTGATGTTACAAGATTCAGATAAGAAAATGGATGGGAAAATATAAATTGTAATGTGCCATAATTATGATGATTTTCATAAATGGCATTAATTGTAGCAACTAGTGACTATAAATTAATAGGAATAATACAGCTATTGTTAATTATTCTTCTTCTTAAGGGAAGCATCATCCATTAAGTGTTCCCTAGGGGTATCAGCAAAGAGACAGGATAAAATCAGGACTTCAGCATCTGTACTTGACTGTAGTAGAAAGTATATCAACTACCCATGCCCTAAGTCCATGGGATATCTAACCACAGAGATTCAAAAGTCACAGAATTACCCTGAGCCATACAATGAAACAAGTAATTATGGCATGCAACCAGTCCATGCTTGTAAGATTTCAACTGATTTCCAGCCTCCTTCTCCTCCTTTTCCTCTAAACTGGACTCGCTGCCCATTTTCAGTTTCTCATATTAGGTTGATGCGATTTATTAACAAGTTCCAACCTAGTGCTCTGGAATTTTGAGCAACCCCACCCCACCCCCGGCTGCTCCATCTGACTTTATGAAAATAGCTTTGCTTCTACATTTTAATCACCATTATGAATAAGAATAGGACTCTTTCTCACATTCAAGACTCTACTTCATGTCATAGTTCAAATAACTGAAGTCCTACCCAAGTTCCAGCCCCAACCCTTCTCTTCATATTCTCATCTACTGTCTATGTACCTTTAGATTTATGGGCTGTCTTGCTGTTCTCAGCACTTTATACTTGTTCCCAGTAGCCATAGTCTTATAACCAACTACCAGAATTCTACAGATGTACCAACATCTTCCTCTTAACTCACTATTTCTGCAGCTCTGCCAGTCACCTGATGGGTAAATTACCTGAAGGAGGCAAAGTAAGAACAAAGAAGACTATGCTACTGTCTACTCTTTCTTCTAGGTAATCACACAGACTCTAATAAGGTGGTCTACATAATCCTAACAATTCTCGTGCTCTTCAAACATAACTAGAAATAGCCCATTGTCTACGTCGGGGTTCTATCAACAAACAAACAAAATGCTTGTATTAAAAGTTAGCACGTACGACATGTATTTTGAAGATCAGTTCCAAGTAGTAGTAAGGGAATTCAGAAATAAACAGAGGAGGGAAAAAGACAACTGAAAGATGTGGCCATTCTGGTATACAATGGTACAAAGGTAATATACATTGATTACCAGTAATAAGGCATGAAAGAATATTTGTATTTATTATTCATTCTTCATATTCAAACATGTTAACAAAATAATCTCACAGAAAAGTTGAATGAGCAGGAAGTAAATTTCACACACATACCCTTCACTCAGATTCACCAACAGCCAACAATACTTGCCATACTTTGCTATACTTGCAGTGTATCTACATAAATTCTATTTGTTGTTACAATTAAATCATTTGTAAAACGTTCTAGAAACCTCCCCCTATGCCTGTGCACATCTTAGCTTAAAAATCCTAAAAATTCCTACTTTTTTCATTTCATTATTCCATCCAAGAAATTTAATGTAGGTACAGTAATATCTAATACATATGCATTGTCAAATTTCACCAATGGTCCTGGTAATCTTTTTCATCTATGAACATTAACTTCCATTCAAAATAGAACCAAAGATCACACACTGAAATGACACATCTTTGTAGTCTAATTTAGCACAGTCTCTTAGCTTACTTTTGTTTTCCACAAAATAAGTATTGAATAAATGATAGCTACAGAGTCATTACTTTGACCACAGTCTCAAAATTAATGCTTTGATATCAATCAAGAATATAGTTTTATTATAACTCTTTTGGTCAAAAGTAAAAGTCATCTGCTGAGGGGCTTCAGTAAACGGGGTTCCTATGTATCTTAACATATACAGTGATGCCAGGAATCAACTTTGAATATCATTAAGCCTTGATGTGTGCTCTCAAGCAGTAGTGCATACTGAAGAATCTACAAGGCTTGATTTACCCTGATTCTGTGAGTCTGGGGTGAGGCCCCCAAACTTTCATTTCCATCAAATTCTCAGATGATACTGATGATGCTGGTCTGAGGACTATGCTTTGTAAACAACTGTTCTAAGTGGATTTCTAATAAAATGAACCTTTGAGAGAGAAAGAGGGCAGGGACAGAGAGAGAGGGAGGGAGGGAGGGAGGGAGGGAGGGAGAGAGGGGGAGAGAAAATAAATGAACATATAATTTTGTCTTAAAACCAATCGTGTTATGTCATATTATTAATGATGTCATGAAAATACCAATAGATACATCCAAATAATGGGTAAGCAAGATCTGAACAAAAATAATAATGGAGACAGTATGATTAGTATTTATTATAATTCCCATGATATATAATATGACCAGCCTTTTCACATTATTTCTGATACTGTTGAGACAG